CTCTCTCTCTCTCTCTCTCTCTCTCTCTCTCTCTCTCTCTCTCTCTCTCTCTACCTCGCTTCCCACTGTCATGCCATGAGCTGTTTCTCCTCGGCCATATTCCTCTGCCTCACCACCCTTACTTGGAGCCATTCAACTCTGAACTGAAACCTCTACAAACTGCGAACCAAAACAAGCTTTTCCTCCTGAGAGTTGTAGATGTCAGGTATTTGTGTCTCTGCTGAGAAAGTAACTAAGACAGGACCCATTTGAGATCCCTAACTGCCTTAGTTTCCAAACACAAAGGGCCAGCAGGGTCATGCTCTCTCTGAAAGCTTGACAAAAATGTGCATTAATCCCCAGCAGAAGAAGGGAGATCACAAATGCTGTTCCATATCTCTCTCGTAGCCTCTGGTGGTCGCCAGCAATTTTAGCCATTGCTTTCTCGTGGCTATATGACTTGGGCCTCTGCCATACCACTTCATACAGCCATATTTCCTCCTTTGCATGTATTCCTGTCTCTTCTCAAGAAGACACAAGCCAGAGAGGATTCAGGATCCATTCTCCTCCAGTATGCCCTCTTCTTAACTCATTAGGTCTATAAGCATCCAGTATTCAAATAAGGGCACACTCTGAAGTTCTGGGAAGGACATGCCTGCAGAAGGACACTCTCCAAACCAGCAGACTAACCCTGATCAGACCCTGGGTCAAAGAATCAGGGGCTCAAACTGAGCCCTGGATGTAAGCACTAGCAGTGTTGCCTACAGACAGAAAGGTCCCGGCCTGGCTAGCATCTCTGTGGTACCCAGAGCCAGCCAGACTGCAACGGCTCCTGGAGTGGCCTGTGCATGGCAGTAATACTCAAACCCTGCCTAACCCTGGACACCACCCCAGGATGAGGGGCCTGAGGAAAAGCAGCATCTCAAAGGAAGTTTGAAGCATGCGCTACAAAATAAAGGGGCTCCTGGGCTTGGGGCCAGCCTTACGGGCTCATTCAGAAGTGCAAGGGTCCAGAGGGGGCAGGTTCAGAAAAGTCCAGGGCTAGCCTTAACCTTCTGGTCTTGTCACCTTGAAACTGTTAATGGCCATTTTGGATTTTGGGTTTCTGTTTTGTTTTGTTTATGTGTTTTTGTTTTTGCATTACTATGAATTGAGCCCAGGGCCTTTGCTCTGAGTTTTATCACCAGACTTTTAAAATTTTTTGGTACAGGGTTTTGCTAAATTTCCCAATCTGTCCTTGAACTTGTGATCGTCTATTTCAGCCTCTTGAGTAGCTGGGATTACAGGTTTACACCACCATGCCTGGCTCTAGTTTCATTTCTTGTTTTGCTTCCTGTTTTTAATGCATACCTCCATGTTTTCATTTTGCAGAAAGTCCCATTAATTGACAGGCCTGTCTCTCTTTTAAAATGTCAAGATTATAAAAGACAAAGCATGAGGAAGCGCTCTAGGTTAAGAGGTACCAAAAAGACATGACAAATAAATGTTACTGCTGATTGGATGTTGGACTGGTGGTGAGGGGTCAGATATAAAGGACATTATAAGGACAACTGGCAAAATCTGAAGGTGAACTGTGGATTAGATAATACAACTATTATCAATAAAAAGTGTCCTGATAGGACCAGGAATTTAGCTCAGTGGCACCGTGCCTGTTGTGTAAGTGTAAGGTCCTGAGTTCGAATCTCAGAACTGCCAAAAAAAAAGTGTCCTGATATCACAGGAGAAGTGACTCCAAACCTGGTAGATATCAGAGATGCCAAGTTCATGCCTCTCAATAACTGAAGAATGGACATGAGGACAAAGAAGGTTAAGAAAATTTTACTGAGAACAAAGCTCCTGAGAGACAGGAGGAGCTCCCAAAGTCAGGTGCCACCAAGGCTCTTTGGGTGTTTTTTATACGCAGAAATGACACAAATGAGATCACTCTGGACTAAGCTGAGGCCAACCCATTAGGTTAAAGTATAGTAGCTTAGCTAATGTTGCTCTAATAGGGAAGCGAGACACATAACAAGGGTATATGGTGGGCATTACTAATTTTAGCTTATCTATAACTTTAACTAGAATGATCACAGGCATTTGGAGAAAGGGATAGGAGTCTGAGTCAGGGTATTCTAGTCACCCACCTATGCGTCTTACACCTTAGCTAGGCTCACTGGATCAGGTGTTGTTGATTGCAATATAGTCTCAAGCTACTGTCTATTTCTTGGGAGGCTTACAGGCCTGGTTCTCTTCTTCCAATTAGTTTCCAGGCACAATTTCGGTGTCTCATCTCCTGCACTGACTACTAGGACCCAGTCCCTCTCTGACTGCCTGTTAACGTCTACCTAATTTAAAGGTCTATCATACTAATTTTGCCTGTCCTGTGGTTATGTAAGAAAATAGTCCTGTCTTCAGAATATCACACTGAAGTACTGAAGTAAAGGGGTAAGTCTGCGACTAGGCTGCCATGGGTTCAAGGAAAAAAAAAAAAGATTATGAATAAAGTACAGATGCTAAGGCAAGTGTAAACAATTGGTAAATGAGTAAGAATAACAGGAGAGTTCCACCGTTGCAATTTTCTGTAATTTGAAATTACATCAAGATAAAGTGACCACCAACCAGCCCTCGGCCCCTACCACAATCTCTCGCAAACATTTGGAGATCTCGCAACAGCGGTGGGAGGAGAAGGCTGCCAAGAGAGCGTATGGAGTCACGTGAGGAGGGTCACATGACCGGAGGCCCAAATCCAACATGGTGGCCCCCACGGGGCTTGGACTTCTATTCCTACTTTCGCTGCTGGGCTTCCTCGGGGAAGCGTCCGGTGTCATCGGGGAGGGGTGAGTGCAGCTGCCATGGGGTGAATCTGGTTTAGGGTACCCCTGCTCTCCGGGCCCCCTGGCACGGCCACTCGCGCTCACGGCCACCGGGTCCCCGCAGGGCCTCCCGCGACGATGATCTGCTCCTGCCCT